CCACCGAGTGCCCCTTGGGGGGAGCGGGGAGAGGCAGGTCTGCCCTGGCCCTGCGCCTCGCCTTAGCCGACGCATTGCCCCCCTCCCGCTCCCCACTGCTCGCTGCAGCACGATGGCATAAATGTATGGCTCAGCTCACCAGAAATAACAAGAGATCCATCACGGGCACGTGGCGTGAAATGAACAGGCGCGCACAGCACTCCCCACGGGCACGTGTTCCACCGCCGGCAGGGGAGAGGGCTGGCATGCCCCTACCCTCACCCAGCTCCCCCCAGCCCTAGTGTGAGGCATCCTAGGGGACAGGATCACTGCCCCACATTGCGGGTGGACCCAGACGCCAGCCTGGGGAAAGCCACCAACACGGCTGGGAGCTCTCACACACGGACGACCCGCTCAGAGCAATCCACTGGCACCAAGCAAGAGCATTCAACCCCTCCGGGCTAATCTCGGGTCTTGATGCCAATCAGGCTAAGGGGCCTCCCTTGGGCTCTGAGGCACAGTCCCCAGCATCTCAATGCTCCCAGTGGTCAGGGAGGTGGGGAGAAGGGGCCGGGGCACGGTTGACACTAGCTGCAAATATGGGAGGCAAGCAGGGGCACGGCTTGGCCAATAACCAGGCTGGCACAAGCTTCTTCCCAAGAGCCATGCTCAGGGGCAGCCTGGAGGGCAGAAGTCCTCACCCTCCTGCCCCTGCCCTCCCCTCCAGGCCCTGGGAAAGGATGCCCTGGGCTCTGGTGCTGCCCGTCCCTCTCCGCCATCTCCTCCGGGCACTCTGCATCCTCCTTATCAATATCCCTGCGGTGCCTGTAATATATGAGGCCCCCGCCGGGCTCTGGCTCAAGAGCTGATTGTGTTGACACTTATTAGCTCTATAAAAAGGCCCCAAATTTACTGACTTTTGCATTGGACTTAATATAATCCATGCCCCGGTGTGTTCCCTCTGGAAGGGCTCCACGCAGCTATGGCACACCAAGCTGCCTTTCCCCCCCACCGCCGCCAGCCTCTGAGCAGCCCTGGGATGCGGCTGGAGACGCCGGGGCACAGAGAGTGGATCGTGCCATCAGCTGGGGCCAAGAGCATGCCATCCCCCGACCCCCAGAGAGATGGGCATCCAGGCCGAAGCGGGACAGCCATGTGCGCCTGATTAGAAATGCCTGGGAATTATGCGTGTCAGAGCGTGCGCCCAGGGACCATCATAAATCGCCGGGATATACGAGGGCACTTCCCCCGGTTATGTTCGACAAAGAAACCAAATTCAATTTCCTCCTGAAAGCAGTAAATCTCAGGCTGTCGGGCCCGGCGGAGCTGCCCCCAGCATCGCCCGTTACCACCCTGCACGCTGCGTGCCTCTGCTGCTCTGACCGGGGCTAGGGCATGACCAGGGGTCTCTCCCTGGCCAGGACCACCCGTGCTGGTGCCAAGTGGACCCAGGAAGAGCCTAGGGCAGCACCAGCCACTGGGCAAGCCAAGGACAGTGCTGGGAGGGGAGGAGGAGGCAGTGATGCTGGGGTGGGTAGAAAAGCTAAGCCAGGTCTGTTCTGCAGTCACCCCCCTGTGAGCCCCGTGCACTCCCACCCACCCACGATACCCCCACACACCACCCCCATATGCCCCCTACC